CAGGCAGGAAGGAGGCCCCAGGGAAGAAGGCTCCGTTCGCGACCCGCGCTCCTTTCCGAAAGTCCGGGCAACGCAGGAAGGTCTGCGAAGAAACAAAAGCAAGCGTCCGAGTCTCGCCCAGAAATCATCATTGCTGGGTTATAGTTGGGCGACGTGGCATATGCCCTAGGTCCTGCGGGTCCCATGCAGAGAGAGGCATCGTTTCGGGACGGTGACATCACACCGTCCTGATCTGGAAACGTGAAGAAGGCATTTCCACGAATCTAACACAAGAGAAACAACTGAATTTAAACTGCATTTCAGGGGCGCCTGGGTGGCTCAGTCGTTAGGCATCTGCCTTCGGCTCGGGTCATGATATTCCCAGGGTCCTGGGATCGAGCCCCCCCATCGGGCTCCTGCTTCGCGGGAAGCCTGCTTCTCCCTCTCCCACTCCTCCTGCTTCTGTCCCCTCTCTCGCTGTGTCTCTCTCTCTGTCAAATAAATAAATAAAATCTTTGGTTTAAAAAAAATGAATAAATAAACTGCATTTCAGGGCAGCGTCCCTTGCCACAGAGATGGGATATCCTGAGACCTACCCCCCCGGGGCCGGCTTCCCAGGCCACCGACCGGGCAGGAAGGGCCTCGCGCTGGGGTCCGGGGCTTAGCTGTCAGCCTCTTGTAATTCGTCATGGTTTTCAACAGGGAGCCCCCCGTTTTCATGTCGCACCAGGCCCTGCAAATTCTGGAGCGGACCTTTCCCAGGCCTTTGGGGAAAAGTTACAAAGACGTCCAGGAGGCCAGAATCTATGTTTTTGTTTTTGTTTTTTTTTTAACCCCAAGGCTCAACTCCAGGTTGTATTTATGTTATCTCCTGTGCTGAAAAAGTCGACCTCGTCTCCTCCCCATCGCCACTCCTTAAGTTCCCTGGGTTTGTATCACTGTTAACAGTATCAGTGTTGACAACACAATCTGTTCTATCATCTTGGTTTCAGCCTCTGGTTCAGCTTGCCTATTCATCCCAACCTCAAGGATCTATTACTCTGCGTGTGGCATGGCTAATGCTGGGAAGACTGCAGAGGCAGGAGAGATCCCCACTCTGATGGAATCTACCAGCAGGAGGCAGCTTATAAACACAACAAATATGTTAAATATACAATGTGCGGTAGCCAACAACTGTAGCAGAGGAGGGGGTGGAGAGTGAGAGAGGCTATTTTACATAAAACGGTCAAGAAAGACCTCTCTGAGGAGATGAGGTGTGAGCAGGTCCCAGATAAAGTATCCGAGGGAAGAGTGAAATAGGACGCGGGGAAGGCATGTGCAAAGGTCCTGGGGCCTGGGAAGTACTGGGTGCTCCAGGAACAACAAAGCAGCTGGTGTGGCTGGAGCATCATGAGTGAGGGCAGAGGAGAGCTGCGTCGGGAAGAACCATGTGAGACGTGGAAAGGCCTTTAGGTTCTATTCTGAGCGTGTTATGTTAGAAAGCCTTTGGAGGGATGAGAGCAAAGAAGGCATGCTTTCCGTTGTGTTTCAGAAGGATTCTCTGGAAGCCGGATGCACAGGAGACAGCACGGAGAGGCAGAAAGAGGAGCAGGAGACGAGGGGAGAGGCCATAGCCCAGAGGACGTAAGGCGGCGCGGCACGAGATCCGAGAAAGGAGGGAGAGCAGCAGGATTGCCTAAAAGACCAGGGTGCCGGGCTGCATTTCGCCGACACATACCCTTCCGCTCTTAATCTTTCCTCGTCTTCTTTACAGAATGGCCTCTGATCTTTTCGCTTCTCTTCTATCCAAACGTATTCATTCTACAGAAGGGCAAGACTCCCGCTCCTCCACGAGGTCCCCTGGGGCGCTCACGGGCAAGCACTGCGAGACAACAGGTGTGTTACCTGCTGTTTGCTACTTACCTTTTTAACCTCCTCCACGGTACTGGGAGGGTATTATGCTGACTTTATTTTTAAGTTATATGAGTAGTTGTATCACTTTGTTAGGACTGCCTTAAAATTCCACGGAGGGGATAACTTCAATTTATTTTCTCCTGGTTCCGGAGGCTGGAAGCCAGAGATCAAGGAGACAGCCCGTCGGGTTCTTTGGAGGCCGCTCTCCTTGGCTGGCAGACCGCTGTATCTTTCCTCTGTGCTCAGGCATCCCTGGTATCTCTGTGTGTCCCAGTTTCCTCCTCGTATGAGGACACTGGCCTCGTTTTAAGTTGACTGCCTCTTTAAGGGCCATCTCTCCAGATCATCTTCTGAGGTTCTGGGGGTTGGGAACCTCAACATATGGATTTGGGGGAAACGCAACTAAGTCCCTCCCCGTGCTGGTAACTGTAAATTCATTCAGCGTCGCCCAGTATCAGGACAGGAGTGAGACACTGCTGGAGAGGTGATTGTTGTCACCCCGAGAGCCCGGCCTTGGAGCTGGATGCAGTAACCGAGGGGGTCTGGGTTTGTCACTTCGAGGAAGAGATGAGTGACGGCTTGGCTGCATGGGATCAAATCTGCAGCTTTTGTCTTTGCCCTGAACTGCAGCCCGCCAGGCCACCCCACAGCCTGAGCCCTCCCTTCACAGCGGGAGTCGGCTCATGATGCTCCTTCACCCCACGCCCTCTCCCTCGGAGGGGACCCCACCTGAGAAAACCCACCTGGCTCGTTCCCCTCCCTTCCCCACGTTTCTCCCCTTCCTGTTTTTGTTTTTGTTTTATTTATTTATTTATTTATTTGACACAGAGAGAGACACAGCGAGAGAGGGAACACAAGCAGGGGGAGTGGGAGAGGGAGAAGCAGGCTTCCCGCGGAGCAGGCAGCCCGATGCCAGGCTCGATCCCAGGACCCCGGGATCATGACCTGAGCCCAAAGACAGATGATTACCCGCTGAGCCACACAGGCGCCGCCTCTTTTTGTTTTTAATTAAGATGAAATTCACACAACATGCAATCATTATTCAGTGAACAATTCGGTGGCATTTCGTGCTTTCACAATGTGATTAACCATCTCCTGTATCTACTTCCCAAACATTTCCATCACCCTCAGAAGGACACCCCACACCCATTCAGCAGCAGCTCCCCATTCCCCTCCCCCAGCCCCCAGCAACCACCAGACTTACCTGTTCTGAGTATTTCATGTCAATGGAATGATATGCATATGCAGTTTAGTGTCTGGCTTCTTTCGCTGAGAGTTAACGTTTTCCAGGTCCATCCGCTTTGTAGCAGGGGTCAGAGCTCATTTTTATGGCTGAGTAATATTCCATTGGGTGCACAGAGCACATTTTGATCATCCATTCTTTGATTGATATCTGGGTTGTTTCCACCTTTTGGCAATTGTAGGTAATGCTACCGTGGATATGTGTGGATATGTATTTGTTTGAGTCCCTGTTTTCAGTTCTTTGGGGTACATACCTAGGAGCCAGACACCTTACAGTGAGGCCCTCCCCGATCACCTTACGTAAGATGACAGCCCCCTGACTCTTCACCCTCCTGTCCTGGCTTCAGACCTCTGACGACCACCGTGTAAAATCACATATATTCACCTATTCCCCGCCCTCGCTTTATGACTTCCTCTTCACCAGAGGTAAGGTCCTGCTGACTAGGGGTTGACAGGATTTTTTCCTCCGCTGTATCGCCAGGACTCAGGACACTACTGGACTTCTGTCAGTGATCCATTGTCCCATTTATCTATTGTATAACTGTATATCTATTGTAAATCTGTTGTCACAATGATGTTGTGAAATGAACTCTTTCAAAACTTAGTGGCTTCACACAACAGCCATTTACCAGCCTCCCGATCCTGCAGGTCAGGAATCGAGACTGGGCTCAGTTGGGGGGTTGTCATGCCGGAAGCTGGAGGTGGGGACATGAAACAAGAACACAAATAACTACAAAACGAAGAGAGGGCCTCCACTTGTGGGGCAGGATGTGGGGATTTCAGGGGACGGCAAAGGCCAAGGGCACGTGAGAGCTGGGCTGCCTGGGGCCTCAAGCAGCCCAAGTGGCTGGATTGGGTAAAGTGAGGAAGAGAGGCTGGGGCTCGAATGTCAAACAAAAGAAGCCAAGGAACAGCAGCGGAGAGGAATGTGAAGACAGGCTGGGCACGTGGCCTCGCCCAGGGGTCCCCCACAGCCTCCAGAGGTCCCTGCAAGCCAGAGACCAACATTCATGTCATAACTTCACAAAGGCATGGGGGAGGTGTGGAGAGCTATGTGGCTGTGTTCTCCCAGCGCTGGTAGTCGGGCGGGGGGGGGGGGGGGGATCCGCTCTGAGCCTGCCTTCCCACCATCACGCAAGCAGAGGAGAGAGGACAGGGCAGGGCAGGGTCAGGGAGCCTTGAGCGCCCCTGTGCGCGGGGCAGCTGCGTGGCCCGGGTCCTTCTAAGCACCAGGGCACAAGGCGGACTGTGACAGAGTCTGCCCCTGCGAAGAGAAGCTCGGGAGGAGGAAGGAGCCCACGTCCCTCAAAACCAGGAAGGACGTGATCTGGCCAGTGGATACTGTGTCATTCTTACAGTGAATAACTTGGGGGATGACCTGGCATTTAACTGCTGGTGGGTCTCCCAGGATTGTTTCTGCGAGCGAGTTCTCAGGGGTCTGATGTCCTGAGTGACCTGAAGGAGCAGCCACTGGCCCGCCAGGCCGAGGCCCGCATGGACGGGGGGCCCGGGAGTGGTGGGCATGGGGTGACAGCCCCGCCCGCATCATGCCTGCCCAGAGCTCCAGGGAATCCAGAGAGCAAGGCTGAAAATCTGCGCTCGAGAAGGATGGTCTGCATCTCAGAAGCAGAGACTGTCTTAAGCCCGGCGGCGTGACGCCTCACATGATCTGGCCATGACTGTGGTGTCCTGGTTGTGCTCACAGCTCACCGGGCCCTGGGCTGCAGAGCTCACAGGACGGCTGCGGGCAGGCAGCTCCAGCTCCAGGGGCCCAGCTAGAGATGCCAGGCAGCGGACCAGCACACCTGTCCTGGGGCACAATGGAGGAGGGGGAAAGGAGCCCCCTGCTGTCCCAGGTAAGCCAGTGCCCGGTGCCCTCCGCCCCAACCCCCACCCCCCGCCCCGTTTGGGACTGTCTTCTCCACCGCCGAACGCCCTGGGCCCGGGTGAGGGGGGGGACCTCCGGCCCGTTCTCACCCACCCTGGCCCCAGGCCCCACCCTGAGCCTTTCTGTGTGCTGGGGCTAGCCAGTAGGTGGACACCCACCAGGAGCTAAGGTTGCGGTAGGGGTTTCACTAATCAGGTGCTTTATCCTCACCCGGCGCTTTGCCCAACTCGGGAATGTTTCCTATCCTTGCCCTTGTGCTTGACGTGGTGTGCGGTGCACCCGCGCTCCGAGAAAAGCACACACCCAGGGGACGCGCTCCCAGGGGCCTTCAGTGCCTCCCTCGCGCCCTGCCCATCCGCCTCCACCTGCGACCTCTCGGCCTTTACCTACCGCCCCATTTGCCCCTTCCCCACGGCTGCCTGTGGCTCCGGAAGCAAGACCGCGAGCTCTGGCTCCCGACACCCCTCCAGGCGGGCTGCGAAGCTGCAGGATAACTTTCCGGCCCCCGCACACGGCCTCGGGCAGCCCCAGGCGCCCCAGCCTGGCACCCAGCAGCCTGGCCTTTTGCTTCTACTGACTGTTGGGGCCTGGGGGGGCTGATAAATACCCCTTTCCTCTCCTGCAAGTTCACAGTGGATGAGGTTTCAATGCAGGGTCAGATGTGGGGAGTGGAGGACAGCTTCTTCCTGGGAAACTGGTTTGGAAGGGAGGCCCTGCCTAGGTGTGGGGCCACAGCTTCCGAATTCTCCTCCCAGATTTCAAGGCAGGCCGCCCCTCTCCTCCCTGCAGGGAGAGAACGGAAGTTTCTCCCACACCTGCCTGCAGGTGGAGAGCGTTTGGGGTGGGGGGCAAGCAGATCTGAAATGGAGATTGTCGGTTAAGGGACGAAGTGGGACGGAGTCAGCAGCTTCTCCAAACCTCACGATCAATGAGCCACGTCTCTGTGGGAGAACCGGGGGCGGGAGATGGGTCAGCACTTCTTTACTTTCCACACTTGCTACGACCAGTGCCCCAGAGCATGGCTGAGCATCCTGCTGGAGGGCAAGGCAGGGCCCTGGCCTCCCACAGAGCCCTGGTCTCCTCCCTGCTCTGGGAGGCTGGCTGGCCCAGCACCGTGTCTGCGCTCAGAGTGGGGCGGACTGTGCAGGTCCTGGGACAGTGGGGCTGGGCTGAGGCGGGGAAGCAGAAAGGGCAGCCCCCCGGGGCCAGCCCTTCTGCCTGGAGTGCCTGCACCTCCTGGGCTGGGTGGGGAAGCCCCTCTCTGGACTGTGTGTCCAGCCCAACCCACACAGATGCTGTTCCGGCCACCTGCCACGTGCCTCTGCTGCGGGACCACATCCTCCATCTCACAGAGGGGATCAAGGACAGGCGTGTGTTCGTGCCACGCCGGTCTCCCAGTATTGCCCCGCTTACTCTCCACTGTGAACTGGCAGGGTGCAGCTGTCCCTCCGTTTCGCAGGAGACAGGCCCTTCCTGTCCCCCTGCTGCCTGGCCGGGCGACAAGCCTGGAGGCCGCCATGGTCCTCCCCAGCCATCGCTGGTCCCTGAGCCTCCTCTATCCACTATCCAGTCTCTTCCCCTGGCCACGAGGAGGTGACCTCCCCGTTGATTATCACGTCCTGCTGGTGAGGTCTCCCTGTGTGTTCCTCCTGCCTCCACAGGGCGCCGGGTGCCAGGAGGAGCCCCTCCCCAGGAGCAGCCCACTCACTTCAAGACACCCTAGGCCGGCACCCCGAGAGGACCAGGTCTGGAGGGCAGGCCCTGGGGGAGACCCGGCCCCCTCTCTCCCCTTGGGAAGCAGCTGCCTGAAGTACCTGACCTTCCTGTTCAACTTCCTCTTCTCTCTGCTTGGTCTGCTGGCCCTGGCCATTGGGCTCTGGGGCTTGGCTGTCAAAGGGTCTCTGGGGAGTAGCGGGGGGGCAGCCCTGCCCGAAGACCCCTTGCTGGGACTGACACTGGGGGGGCTGGTGGTCAGTGCAGTGAGCCTGGCAGGCTGCCTGGGTGCCCTCTGCGAGAATGCTTGCCTGCTGCACTGCTTCTCTGGGGGTCTCATTGCCTTCCTGGCGCTGGAGGCTGTGGTGGGTGCCCTGCTGGTGGCCTTCTGGGGCCCGCTGCAGGATGGCCTGGAGCCCACCCTGCGTGCGGCCATCACCCACTATCAGGATGACCCGGACCTGCGCTTCTTCATTGACCAGGTCCAGCTGGGGCTGCAGTGCTGTGGGGTGTCCTCCTATCGGGACTGGACGTGGAACCTGTGAGTCCTGTAGCCCACGGGGAAGGGGGGAGTCCCCAGTGGTCAGCAGACCAGACTGCACGTGCACTCACATGGATGCACTCACTCGCACACATGCTCACTTGTACGCACACACGAGTGTGTACACACATGCCCGTGCACACACGTGGGCCCCCGAGTGTTTCTGCTCCCCCCAACCAGGACCAGGTGGACAGGGATCTTAGTGGAGAAGCTGAGCCAGCAGACTTAGAAAGTCAGTTTGGCGAGTGTTTTTGGTAAGGTCATCATACAAGACGTCTCAATGTCAAATGCACTTCAGTTAAGTGGGGACATCGTTCCGGACTCCACAGTTCTCCCTCCACAGCATGTGAATGTGTGCGTGTCTGTGTGTGCATGGATGCACGTGTGCATGCTTGTCCGTGTATGTGTGTCTGCGTGTGTGCATGTGCATGCATGTGCGTGTGCATGTTTGTCCATGTATGTGTGTCTGCGTGTGTGCATGTCTGTGTGTCTGTGTGTGCGTGCATGTTTGTCCGTGTATGTATGTCTGCATGTGTGCGTGCATGTGCGTGTGCATGGTGGTGTGTGTGTGTCTGTGTCTGCGTGTGTGCATGTCTGTGTGTCTGTGTGTGCATGCATGTGCATGTGCATGGTGGTGTGTGTGTCTGTCTCTGCGTCTGCGTGTGTGCATGTCTGTGTGTCTGTGTGCATGCATGTGCGTGTGCATGCTTGTCTGTGTGTGTGCGTGTGTCTGTGTGTATGAGTGGTGTGTGTAAGCATTGTCTATTTAGGAACACTGGGCACTGTATCTTTTACATTCTGCTGGAGGACAACTGACCATGAGAGATGGGAGTCATACAGAGACTTGAAAACCAGCCACTTGTGTCCAGCAGTCACTGAAACGTGACAAGCGTTCTAGAAGCATCCACACGGGTGTTCCCATTAGTGGGCTGTGAATTCGGATTGGTGGCAGCCCCCTGTGGTGTCACATGGTCACCCATCCTGCTGGCTTTTGAGTCCTTGCCTTAGTGAGGCCCACTCTTCTGGGGGATGAGGGCATGCCTGTGAGGGAGGGCAGGTGCAGGACCGTGGACCCCAGTCAAAGTCCAGGGATGCTTGGAGGCTGCCTGGAGCTGGGGGCTGTGAGGAGAGCCCCGTGGCTGCCGAGCGCTGCCCCTTAGCCTCCCACACCGACCCGCTGACGGGCACGGCGACCTCTCCCAGGCTTCAGCTCATCTTCTCCCCTCCAGTTTTGCCTGCTCAGACCAACTCAGCAGCCCCTATCGGGCAAGGCTGTCTGATTCCCACCCCTCATCACGTGCTTGTCTCCTCTTCAACCGTCTCACCAAATATGTCCCTTCCTGCCAAGAGGCTTTGACATCTGCCTGCACGTGCAGGGGCCTCCGGGTGCCGGGATGAATCACAGGAAGCTGGTTATTGTGTGTGCACAAGTGCGTGTGCCTATGTACATGTGTGTCTGTGGGGCGTGGACGTTTGAAGGGCCGGTAAGAGACACCTGACTCAGTGCCGGGCCCCGAACAGCAGGCCCTGCCCTCCAGACCGATGCCCAGATGTACCCTTACAGGTACTTTAACTGCAGCTCCCCTGGGGTCCAGGCCTGCAGCCTTCCTGCCTCCTGCTGCATCAACCCCGGGGAAGATGGCGCGGCTGTCAACCACCCGTGTGGCTTCGGAGCTCTGGGCCTGGATGAGGGTGCCGCTCAGAGACGGGTGCATCTGCAGGGCTGTGGCCCTCCACTCCGAGGGTGGCTGCACAGGAATGTCCGGGCTGTGGGTGCCTGCACAATCGTGGCTGTGGTCGTCCAGGGGGTGGAGCTCCTGATGGCCGCCCAGCTGGTGAGGGCCGTGGCTGTCCGCCAGGTGGGGGGTGGAGAGCCCCAGAACCGTGGGGACGGAAAGGTCCCCTGCCAAACTGGCCCAGGGCCGACAGCCCCGTAGGACACCCAGGGAAGGTGTCGGAGTAACCACGCTGGGTCTCAGGCACCCGGGCCTCCTCCACCTGCTGTACCTCCCACTCCACAGGGGCCCCTTTCCCTGAGGGCAGGGCATGCCCACCTCCTTCCCGGTTCTGTCAGGCCCTGCAAGGATGAGCCCCTGTACCACCGCCTGATTTCACTCTCTTTTGGAGACATTTGTTCTCTACCATGGAGCCCTTGCAAACACCGCGTGGCCTGTGTAAGCCACACCTCCTACAGGGGATGCCAGGCAAAGCTACCTGGCCAGTGCGAAGAGTACGGGGCTCTGAGGACTGGATGAAATCCTGCTGGCAAGCCCCCAACTCCAACTCCCACCCCTGACTGTCACCTCCAACCACCTCTGATGCTTGCCCCCAACCCCCATTCTGACCCCGCCTCTGAGGCCTACCCCAGTGGCCCCACTCCCTTACCACCGCCTGGCCCCTTCCCGTCCATTGTGGTGGCCGAGGGTGAGGCCCAGGCAGGAATAAATTTTACTGAGCTGTATCATTCATATGGTAAATGGCACCCGTCTCAAGTGGGCAGCGTGAGGAACTCGTCCCTCTGTAAACCCCTGCAGACCCACGGCCAGGTCAGGAGCCAGCCACGGCAGGCTGCTTCGCCTCCTCCCTGTGGGCACCCCGACCGGCCTTCCTCACCTTCGGTTACATGGCTTTTCTGGCTTTCACATGCATGGGACCCCAGAGGGCCCTTCCCAAGAGTCACCATCTGGTCCCTGCTGTGTGAAGAGGCCCCACAGACGCACCTGGTCCATGTGGACACACACTTGGCAGGCTCCTGGATGGCGACTGCTGCTAGGGACAGTTTCACCAGGCCCTGTGTGCACGGGTGCGCCCAATCCCCCCAGGTGCGGCATCAGGCGTGGAACCCTAGGTCACCGGGTGGGCGCCTGGCCAGAGGTACTGGACAGCTAAGGACAGGCTGGCTGGGCCACTAAGCGAATTCCCCGATCTCTCTGCACCTGTTTCCTCACCTGTGAGGCAGGGTTGAGGGCTCCCTCCTCCTCGCATGAGCTGTGGCAGGGCCTCGTCCGCCTCCTTCGGGAGGCCTGCTCCGGGGGCTGGGCATGCACGCGACTGCCTCCCAGCGTAGCCGGCTTTACTGCATGGACCCCCGGCCACCACAGGCCCAGATGCAGCGTTTAGTGGGTTTCTTTCCCTCTCAGCCTGGCCAGGCCCCTGCTGCGCCCACCAGCCTGCCCCTTCATCCCTACGCTCCTGCTGGAGACCCACACCGTCGGGCCCTGCCCCCACCCACAACACAACCCACTCCAGCTGAGCGCTCCGGGGTGTGCGAAGTTTATTTTGAAACAGGGACAGCAAGCTGGGCCATGTTGGAAAGGATGTTTCCTGCCGGTGATGGGTTTGGAGGGGTGTTGGTCGGATGCCACCAGGACTCCCCCACCGCCCCATTCCAACCCAAGGGCAGCAGCTGGGAAGGGCTAGCGAGGGGAGCTTGGTCTCACCACCACACAGCAGGACGGGAGCGGGCTGTGAGGGACATTCCTGGGATACCCTGCCCTGGCTTTCCAGCCCTAAGAAAAGGTCTGTGGGCCAGTGTTTCGGAAGCTAAGCAGGGCCTGACTGGCCCCGGGGTGTCCTACAGGGAGCTGGTGGGCTTCTGGTAACTGGCATCTGGGGGCCTGAGGTTGCCACCCTGCAAGGGTCTCCAGACACAAACTGGGCAACCTGGACACCCTCAGGGGGGCCAGCCTCCTCGCAGGAATCCTGAGCAGGGGTGGCAGTGGGCAGCAGGGGGTAGGGCCCTGAGGCTCTGGGTCAGGCTCTGGCACTAGATGATGCCATACTGGGCCAGTTCGTGCAGCTCCAGGTGGTTGAAGGCCTCCCATGGGCAGATCACCGTGATGTCTGCGGGAGAAGGAACAGTGGCACCAGGAGGCTCATGGCCCCAGGGGTCACCACCACCCCCTCCACGCCCTGTTGTCCACACCCCGAGTGGTGAGAGCAGAAGTCCTGGGTGGGGAGTCCTTCCCCCAGGGCACGCCAGCTTGAGGGTGTTGAGTGGGAGAGGACAGGTGCAGCCGGGAGGAGCAGGGGGGCAGCAGGGCCTCCTTGTTGCTTTCCAGCCCCCCCACCAGGTACCCGGTGAACCCACTGAATGGGAGCAGCCCCACCTCCGTGAGGCCTAAGCCTTGACGTTGGGGCAGAGAAGGAAGGACGGGCTCGAGGCAGTGCTCTAGGTACCCTTCGGCTGGGGAAGCGGAGTAAGGACGGGACGCAGGCGTGTGGACAGGCGGGAGAGTGGGGGCACCTGGGAAGACCCTGGTGGCCGGGAGAGTGGGGGGCACCTGGGAAGACCCGGGCAGCCATCATACCTGTTCCCAGGCCTTCCATTCCGGGAATGTCGTCCCCAAACCTGCAGGACACAGTGGTCAGGGCCAGTGGCCGGGAAGAGGGCACTGGGGGTGCACGGGGGCATACGTGCCCATGAGCGCCGGCCCCTGGGTCTGCCAGCGCGCCCTGGCCGTGAGTGTGCAGGGACATACGCCGGCGGGTGGGCTGCGGCTGAGTCCCTGAGCGGCAGTGAGCGTGGCCTCCAGATCCATTTGGCAGTAACAGGTAGAGGGTGACAGGAGCCCCCGAGCCCTCCTGCCCTCCATGCTGAGGAATGGGGGGCCCTTGGGAACGACCCCAGCCAGGGAAGGGTGGCCCAGCCCCCTGCTCTACAGTGTACTCCCCCCCACACACACACTTCCTGTGTCGCCTGCAGCTGGCCCTCCACCAGCTCTGCTTACCCTTGGACGCCTTTCTTGGGGGGCTTGCTCTTGAACTGCCTGGTTTGCCGCTGCTTAAATTTGGGGGGCCCTTTTCTGGGAGTGACGGGCCCCCCCGTCACCCTGGTGGCTGACCGGATCTCGGCCTTGGGCGGCTCCAGGTTCATGGCCAGGATGGCAGAGACCCCCACAGCAACCTCTGGCTTCTAGACTCCCTCGCGCCGTGGGCTGGGGGCACACCAGGCTGGGGGGCTCCTGGTCAGCCCCCTTGCTTCCGCCCCCCTTGCAGGTCTCAACCCAGCAGAAGAGAGGAAGTCCTGAAACAGGAAACCCAGGAGGCCCTGAGCATGACCGCAATGGCAGCCCCCCGCCATCTCCACGTGGGCCTGCACCTGGGGTCAGGCAGGGGGAATGAGAGTACCGGTGGCTCCCCTGGTGCACCCCCCTCGGCTGTCTCCCCTTCTGCGTGCCCCACCCCAATCCCCGGGGTAGGGACACTCAGCCTCATTCCTGGTGGCATGCCAGGCATCTGGCAGTGCCAACGAAGGGTGACAGAGAAGTGGAGGGCAGGGTGCCTTCTCAGGAGAAGTCCCGAGCTGAGCTGTGCAACCAGCCCCCTGCAGTTTCTTCCCTCTAATGGTAAATCCCCTGGCCATTCACTGTGCTTGGAGACTGCCCTGGGCACATAGTGTCACCTGCTGGTGTCCCTGAACCCACTGCACAGGGTGACCTCCCCTCTGCCTCTCCCTGGATACCCTAAGCCCCATTGACCCTGCTCAAGGGCAACTCCGCTTCCCCTAAGCCTATTAGCACCAGAGGGGCGACTCTAATCCCTCAGGGCTGCCATGAGCCTAGAAGGTTCTGGGGCTAAGCACAGGACACAGACAGGAGCCCCTGGCACTAGATGCCCCAGGCCCCACCTCATGGGTTCCCTTTGCTGCTCTGGTCTTGCGGGCTACAGTGCCTGACTCCAGCCTTGGGCTACCACCAGCTGCTGGCTAGAGCATCAGGGCTGAGACCGGCTGGCGGGCAAGGCAGGCTGGGTGGTGGGGGTGGGCACCCAGTACCAGGTGCACCCCCCCCATGGACCTTTCCTCCCTAACATTCATCCTCCATGCCAGAACCCGCACCAGCCAAGGAGGATGTACATGGGGCCCAGGGTGACCTGCACTGGTGGTCCCGGCAGCTCAGACCCCATCATGCCCACCCCTCACAGCCTAGATGGTGTAGGCCCAGCCAGACCCCTTCCCCGGTCCCAGGCCATGGGGCCCAGTGCACACAGCCCTGACCCGGACGGAACTCCCCCTGTCAGATGCTGGCCTCGTGGAAACCATGGTCCAGACTCTTCCCAGCCAGCCCAGCCACAGTCCAGTCTCTGGCTGATGACCACTCAAGTTAGCTGAGAGTGTATGGCCCAAGGTCCCCAGACCATCGCTGGCCTTGGGGACTGCCTGCAACCACCCTTTAATTTGGGGGAGCTGAAAGGGACCGGCTGGGGAAATGCTCTGACTGGGACAGTGGACAGACTCCTGCAGATCCAGCCGTCGGTGTGGCGGTGAAAAGCCCAACTCCCCACCCTCTGTGCAGACACTCAACTCTCTTGGGTAAACGGCTGTCAAGAAAGGCGACTGGGGGAAGGTCAGTACTCACCAAGCACTGGGCAGGTCTCAGGGGGCCGCGGGTTTGAGTGGCCAGGCTCCCCCAGCAGGGTGCCGGCTGGGCATTTATCCTGCGCTTGGGTAAGCCGGTTAGGATCGTCCCCTGACACGACACTAATGAGATTGTCAGGGCCACTCAGGAGGGTGGCGGGAGGGCACCACCACTGAGGGTCAGGGAGACGAGAGAAGGGGCTCAGGGGCAGGCAAGGGCCTGGGGATGGGGTCGGGATGAAGATGGGATGCGCCAACACAAACCGCTGGACGGGCAAGACTCACTCCTGAAGCTGCTCGTCTTGGAAGCCAAGAAGAAACTGCACCGGCCGCCATCCTGGGTCTCCCCACTTTCAGTTCTCTGACCTCTAAAGGACCTGCCTTCACGGCCCCCAAAGTCCTGTGTAGTCTGGTCACTACCTACCTCTTTGACCTCACCTTTTATCCCTCCACCTTGTTCTCCATGCTCCCAGCCCTTCCACCCCAGGACCTTTGCACCCACTGCTCTGTCTGTTGGTGTACTGTGCACCTCTCCTCGTCCCCTCAGCTCCCTCTTCCTGAAACGTCAGAGCTCTGCCCCAGGACCATTTCCTCAGGGCCACCCCTCGGGCTAGACCAGGATGCCTATCTCATAGGACTGCACGGCAGCTGGGACTTGTTCACGCTGATACATCGGATAATGCTCGTGGTAACCTGTCTCCCACGTTAGAGTGAGTGTGGCAGATGTTCCTACTGGACCCCAGTGCCAGACACATCACAGGTGGTCAACCGGCGCCTGAGAGACGAATGAGCAGACAAGACCCACACCTGCGCGAGTCTCGGCGAGCCTGGTGCTGGGGCTGCACGGGCATCCTCGGCCGCCATGTGCTACGTGGAGGAGTCCGCCACGTAGTTTATGTCACCATAAACTCTGTTTCTGGAGGGCACACAGCTGTCCAGAAAGACAGCCTGAACCATGGGTGTCTAACTGGGCACTGTGTTTTGCTTCCATTCTCTGGCCCACACATCTCTATGGGATACATCAGCTTTCTGTTAAAGGCCCCTACCTGGGAAGGCCTGTTTATCAGCTCAAACCCCTCATGAATTTATGCTGCAATCTTAGTTTTTTCTTTAAATGAGGAGAGATAAAACACACACAAGTTCCTTTAACCCATCCAGGACACTGGTATCAGCGCTTGGAATCGTTGGGGGAGGGAGATAAGATGGGACAATTTCCATGGTGGGTGTGAGCAGGAGATGGGGATGGGCAACGAGGGCCCTAAGATAAAGTTCTTCCCGGGCCGAATGGTCCCGTGGCCGGGTCTGCAGCCAAGCACCAGGCTAGTGCCGGGAGGCTGATTTCTAGGGCTAATGCTGGAGGCCTCTGGGTCCTTACACCCAGATCAACTGCCTCGATCATCGTGTCTAAGTGGGTTGGAAGGACTGGAGGCTCAGGCCCCTGTGGGCCGATCCACAGCCTTCTACTGGTGAATGGGTATCTCCCCAAGGAGGCCTGCAGCTGGAAGAATAAGGCCCTTCCCAGGCTGCCTACAGGTGTTCATGCCTGCCAAGGACTTTGCCAATAGCAACTTCATGGGACCAGACAGTCCTCCCTCTGCCACCGGGAATAACCAGAGCTGGCCTTGGGGCAGGACTTCTGGGGTACTGGGACATGGAAGGGGACTCCTGGGGTCGTCGTCACGTGGATCATCAAAAAAAATGGAACTTACTTCACCCTTACAGGTTGGTGAAAGCTGCAGGCTCTCGATAAAAGTTCAATGGCAAGCTGCACCTGCTTTCTTTGACAACGTAACGTAAGCCCTACAGAGAAAAACACAGAAGCCTCCGTCTAATCACCATAGAGACTTATTTATTCTCAGATAAAGTCATTAAATAATTCCTTCTATTCCTGACTCCGGCCTCACGAAGGGCCACGGGTAAAGCTCCGTGCTGCTTCCTGAGAAGGAGCTGTCAGGTTGGAGCTGGCGTGGGTGTTGGGCAAGTCGGCTCAGCCTCCACTCCTCACTCGGAGCTGGATCTCCATCCTGAGGAAGGCCTTGAGGTTCTCATCAGCCACGTGCTCCTCGAGGGCAGCCAGGGCCCTCTGACCACCGTCTCGGTAATGCCGCAGCAGTGCATCTGCATACTCCACCCACACACAGTTGGGACAGCCACTCATGCAGCAGTTTGTGGGGGGCTGGAGGTCAGGCGGCGGGGGATACAGGGCTTCTGGGGGGCCCCTGCCAGGCAAGGACGACTTGGGCTGCCCTGTGCCATCTGCACCTGATTGAGAGCCCTCCTCTACATGGTCCTTCCCAAAATCTCTGTGGCCTTCACGGACTTGGACCCAGGCATGCGGCCTGTAAAGAACGCTGCCGCCTCCAGGAAGCCTTTGGCACCTGTCCCAGCTGGAGGGTCCACGTGGCCCCTAAGAAGACAGATGCTGGTAAGGCCTTGCCAGCCCCCAGCTCCAGGGAAATTTCAGCCTCCTGTCACTGGCAGGGGGCTCCAGGTGCTTCTCCGCTTCATCTCCCAGGAGACCTTAGACAAGTTACTCCATCTGTACACTCGGCTTCCCCTCTGTAAAGTGGACGTAAGGGCTGGAGAAATGGGTTCAGGGACAGGCACTGGGTGCACACTCCAGCAGATGGTGGGGTGGGGTGGACGCTGGAACCCCACCTCCTCGGGCAGGAATGGGTGCGGGGTGGAAGCTTGCGGGCTGGGGCCACACAGCTGCTTCTCCCTCTCCAACCAGTGCAGCCGAGCGCCCCTCTGACTATGCTGATACTCCCTCGGCAGTATCCCCTGCGCGCCGGCTGTGTGCAACCCCCTGGGGAAGCCGCAGTGAACAAGGAGCTCGTGCTCCTCGCAGGAGTTAGCAGAATGAGTAAGTAAGGTCAGGGCGGTGGCAGTCAGTGTGGAAGGCCCCGGAGACCCTGGAGCAGGACACAGGACCCCGGGGCCGGGGCCGCAGAAGGGAGGGAAGGCGGCCCGCTGTGCCCGGTGGCGGGGGGGGGGGGGGTGGGGCTGCCCTCGGGACCTTTGCGGGATGACCTGGGAGGAAGACAGCGATGAAGGGGCTATGCAAGGGATACTGCCGAACCGGCCGGCCCAGCGCAGGGCTGCCCCTCCCGCGGAGCCGCGGCCAAGACAGGAACGACAGCAGGCGGCGCGGCCGGGCGTCTCCGGTCCCTGCCGGGCCCCCGCCTCCCGAACGCGCCGCGCCCCGGCCCCCGCCCCGGCCCCGGTCCCGCTGATACTTGCCGGACCGCAGGCAGCGGCGGCCACCGTGCGGCCTCCCCCAACCAAGCTCCGGAGCAGCATCACCCGCGGCCCGGCCGCGCAGGCGCGCCGCAGCCCCGGGCCCCGCCGCGCAGGCGCGCCGCGGCCCCGGGCCCCGCCCGAGGCGGCGTGAGCGGTAGGCGCTCTGGCCACTCCGGGTCCGCCAGGAGCGGCACCGCCCCAATGGGCGCAGACCTAAGCGCAGGAAGCGGAAATGGCGGGGTCGCGGGGCGGGACTGTGCGGGAAGGCGGAAGTGGTTTAGCCTGCGAGCGCCCGGCGCGCGGATGGCTGGCCCCTGGCCCCGAGGTGCCCTGCCCGTGGGGCCGGCGGGGCCCCGGGGGCCGGGGCGGCCGCAGGGGCGGCAGCAGCAGCTGCGGGGGAAGCAGCACTCAGCGCCATGGCCCGGACCGCGCAGGTGGGTCTCGGCGCCGCGCAGTCCCTACCCGCGGGTGCGCGGGAGGATCGGCGGGTGAGCGGAGGCGTGAGGGTCTCCGGAGTGGCAGGAGCCACTTCCAGGGTCGGTCCCTGCCCTCCTGGGGCTCCGGGAGAGCCCCTCACCCTAGCGACCTGCGAGAACCCAGGTCAGGGGCAGTCTCCGGTGAGGATGCGTCCTCGCCCGGCGCCCCCGGCAGCCAGGTTCGCTTTCCAGGCTCAGCTTCAGTGTCTCTGATTCTGCTTATGCTGAACTTAGGACGCGTCTCACTCTCCTGTTCTCGCTCCCAGCAAAGAAAAAAAGAAAGTGAATTGCAAGCCCAAGAACCAGGATGAGCAGGAAATCCCCTTCCGGCTCCGAGAGATTATGAGGAGCCGCCAGGAGATGAAAAATCCCATCAGTAACAAAAAGAGGAAGAAACAAGGTAACGTGCAGGCTCATGCTGGGTGGCCATACAGCTTTGTGTGCCCCAGTCCACTTAATTGCCTAAACGTTTAATCGTGCTTCGGGCAGCAGAGATCCACAGACACCCAGTGGTCTGACGGTGCAGGGGCTTGTGGAGCACTGACCGAAGGCTGGTGTCACCAGGGCCACAGAGGTGGCTGGCAGCAGGTGGCAGTGTGGTTTCGGATGAGGCTCCAGAAGGAGCCCTTGGGGCCTCCTGTTAGGATTTTTGGTTCCCCTCCCAAACTAGTGGACATCCATCAGAAGTGATGGTGGGTTCAGAGTGACTTTGGGAAAAGACCCCTGTGTAACAATTGAGGGAGCGGACAGGGCAGACCAGGGAAGCTCTTGCAAGTGAGAAACGGCCGTTTCTTGGACGGGAGTGCAGAAACGATAGGGGGAAAGAGTGGATGTTTTCTGGAGGTTAAGGAGGGAGTTGATGAGAGCCCCCCTGGAACACTTACCTTTCCAACCCCTCACCCAGGGCCAGGTTGGGTAGCCACCTGTCAGCCTCTGCCAGAGATAACACTCGGGGCATTTTGAGGAATGGAGTCCAGCATGTTGGCGTTTTGTGTATTTACATTTGTTTTCTCAAATATGAGATTGTTTTTACATCAATGCTGTTTTATAATTTTTTTTTTTAAGATTTTATTTATTTATTCATGAAAGAGAGAGAGAGAGGCAGAGGGAGAAGCAGGCTCCCAAGGAGCAGGGAGCCCGATGCAGGGCTCGATCTCAGGACCCTGGGATCACGACCTGAGCCGAAGGCAGACGCTTCCATCTGAGCCACCCAGGCGCTCTGTTTTATAATTTCTTTGTAAACCTCATGCTTTTCGTTGGGGGTTAGATGAGCATCAAAGAGACAGTGACAGAAAGAGGCAGGAAAGGTGAGAAGTAGAGGATGCACACCGGCCCCAGCAGAAGAAGGCACAGTTTGAACTGTGCTTTACGGAGCTGGCTCTTGTTTTTGGTGATTTAAGACATAAACTCATACGTAGTAAAGCAGACAGGTGGAAGGTATGATGTATGGCACAGCCTCCCTCCCTGTCTCTGAGTCCTGCTCTTTTGCCCTGAAGAAAGCTCTGTTCATCTTCTGCTGTGCCTGCCCAAGAGAAGTATCCTGCACATTTTCACATACTTAGGATAGGAAACTTACCTGTTCAGTCTGTGCATTGCATAATATCCTGGGTTTGTGCAGTGAAGTCTTCACATGAAGATAGGGTAGTTATTCATCCAGTCCCCCGTTGATGAAATAACATTCAGGTTCTTTCCTGTTTTCTTTCTCAACTAAGCTGTGCTGGACATCTGTGACTTGCAGCGGTGGGCTGTGGGGCTCCCATCCCCATGGGTGTCCGAGCTGCCCCCGCTTGAGTCTGGTCTTCCTTCCCTGTGGCCCTGGTCAGCCTGGCACCACACCGCCTGACCTCTCTCTTTGGTCTCAGCCCAGGCAGCCTTCAGAAAGACACTGGAGAAGGAAGCAAAAGGAGCCGAGCCAGACATCGCTGTCCCCAAGTTCCAGCAGAGGAAGTGGGAGTCTGACGGGGCCTACATCCAGCGAATGGAGGAAGAGGCCCAGCACGTGCTCTTCCTCAGCAAGAACCAGGTGGCCCGGCAGCCCGAGGTGCAGGAAGCTCCCAAAAAGGAGAAGTCAGAGCAGAAGAAAGCGTGAGTGGGGTGGGGTCGGGGTCCCCTGACCATTCTCTGCATCGATAGTGTTTTCTTCCTGGGGGAGCCCCACCCCACCCCAATTCAGGGGGAGCACAGAGAGAAGTGAAAACCTGTTTTTCTGTACATCAGAGCTTTTCAACCCTGGGGCTTCAGGGAGTCTCCGAGCCCACGGAACTCTGAAGGCCCAGATTTGTCTTTGCCTTTCTCTGGAAAAGCATCAAGGGGGCCCAAGAGCCAGATGAGGTCAAGGGCCTTTTGTCCACCCTGGCCAGTTGCAATAGGGAGAGGGGAAAAGATGAGGCTGGTGGTCCCTCAGGAAGGCTTGCTGGCCACTGGGGGATCCCACACAGCTCTGGGGTTCCCCTGCTTCTGACTGGCTGACACCGCCTCCTCGAGGACCTGGACTGGGGTCCTTTCCGTAAAAGAAGTTTGAGGGCCTTCAGCTGTGCCGTCCACACAAGTCCTGTGACCCCTTTCAGCTCCAGTGCCTCATCTGTAAAGCAGGGATACTGGCATCCCCAGCGGGGGCTCAGATGAGGTCCTTGCAGGGCTCCTGAGGGCAGCATCTGGCACCAGGAGGGGGCCCACCGCCTGCTCTAGCTCCCCTGCCCCCCAGCCCTGGAGAAGTCTGGGAAGGAAGCCCTGTGCCACCTCCCTGGGCCTGCGGACATGGGCGGGGAGGTGGTTTTGACAAACAAGGGCTGTTTGAGATGTTTCTGCCACAACTGCAGCCTTTGAGATGGGCGGACCCAAGCTTTCATCGGGAGTTTCTGTCACAGCTGTGGGAGTTGGAGATGCTCTGCAGTCCCGTGGCGCTGTCCACATCTGAGCGCTTTTATGCTCGTGGTCAGGCCAAGTGACGAAAAGTACGTCACAGAAAACCTGAACCACTCACCGTCTGGGGCCACAGCCACCCCCCAAACACAGCGCTGCACGTCTGTGATGGCGAGACCAGGGCCTCCACACCTGGGTTTGGGGAGACCCTTCAGATGCAGCAGCCCAGGCGATGCGTGGGGCCAGAGATTGTCTGGGGTGGGGGCTGCTCAGGGTGTGGAGCGACAGCTGGGCCTCTCCGCGAGGTGCCAGGAGCGCCCCCCCCCCCCATTGGGACAACCCAGAACGTCTCCAGATGCCATCAGAGGTGCTCTGGGGACACAGTCGCCCCCCCCAAGAATGCGGCCTTGGAACCCCGGCGGCCTGCTCTTCCGAGCACCCGGCTGTGGGGGGCAGGCGGTCACCAGAGTGGGGACTTGGCAGCAGCTCGCTGGGCTCTGCTATGGGGCATCCTCCTGGGCATGGGTGACCTCCGCTTTCTGAGTCCCGTGAGATGAGACTTGGGGAATCTGAACGGCACTGTGCTTTCTTCCCCAGCTTCCAGAAACGGCGGCTGGATAGAGTCCGGCGGCGGAGGGAGGAGAAGGCCGCAGAAAGGCTGGAGCGGGAGCTGCTCCGAGGTAGGTCCTCCTGAAGCGATCGCGTGGGCCTGGGGCAGCAGATGGGTGGCCACGTGGCCAGAGGCATGGGTTGTGTTCCTCTGCCCCTCCAGACACGGTGCAGTTCGGCGAGGTTGCCCTGCAGCCCCCAGAGCTGACCGCCCAGCCCAGGACGAGCAGAAGTTGGAGCCAGGTAAGCAGGGGCAGCTGCCCCAGCTGTCCCCCAGGGCCGTGTGGTCCGGGGCCTACACGCGGGATGCCACGTTCTCACTGGGCATACAGCTGGTGGACCAACATGGGCCCTTTCTTATCTCCCCTCTTCCCCGAACTGTGCCTCAACCTTCCGTCTCTGTTCTTTAGCCTGGGAAGAAATCGCTGATGCTGAGGATGCTTTTGAGCCCTGGTGGCATGTCCCAGCCTCTGACCACGTCACTGGCCCGACAGCGGATTATTGGGGAGGAGAGAGAGCGGGCCGTGCAGGCCTACAGGGCACTAAAGAAGCGGCAGGGGGCACCGCAGCCGCCCTGTTCTCCCCACCTGGCTTCCAGGAAGAAGGCAGAGACGCATCTGTGACGGCAAGACCAGGGCCTCCACACCTGGGTTTGGGGAGGACGTAGATGGCCTGGAACACATGCTGGGGCCCCCAGGCCCCCCACGTACTCGCTCTCCAGTGCAAAAGAGGCTCTGGGCCTTTGCTCTCTCGTTTTTTCTCCCTAAGATGGCTTTTCTGTGAGTGACCATCTACTGGGCTGTTCCTCACAGGGCATGATCTGTCCCAAGTGCCCAGAGTGGCCAGCACCTGTTTGGGACACAGCCAGTCAGGCACACCTAGCATCATTCATCGCAGCTTTGTTCTGATTACACAGGTCCAGGCTCAGATAAGCCAGGGCCGCTTTAGGGAGGATGATCCCATAATCCTGTGCTTCGACGCCAGTCCGCTGGAGACACTGCAGACTGGGTCAGCTGAATCTGTAACTGAAGCTCCGTATGGTTCAACAGCGCAGCTCGGCTGGAAGCACAGGCCGGGCAGTGGGCCGGAGCAGGGGTGAGGGGGGCAGGGGTCAGGGTCTAGGCCACCAGGACCTGCTTCTGGCACCTTGTCCCTGCAGAGGCAGGTGCAGCCCACCCAGGCTTTCACTGGGATATGGAGACAGGACACCACCCACACCCAGTGGGTTTGAGAGGAGGTTTGTGTTCTCGAGTGTTTGGGGAAAGAAGAGCAGGTCTGAAGCAGCTTGAGGGCAAGGACAGAACTCTGGCCCGGGACCTTCCTGAGGCTGAAAGGGTTATGTGGGGAATTCCTGCCAAGCTTTGAATCTCCCACCAGAGCCAAAGGAGGGAGCACCCAGATGTCACCAGTGTGATTAGCTGTGGGGCGCGGGGTGCGGGGTGCTGAGACTGTAGGGTTCTCGGCAGTGGAACATGAAGGGGAGCATCCTACTGCTCATATCCTTGTGAGGACAGCACTCGGCTCCTTCCTCGGGCTCGGACAGCTCAGGAACTGCCATGTCTCAGCCTTGGCCATGGTGGCCCTACAGAAAGTGTGGGGTAGCGTGCTTCTGTGGGATCTTTTGCCTTTCCCTGTTTGCATCCTTTACAATGTTTTGTGTTTGTTTTTTTCCAAATTAAAAACTTGAGGGCGCCTGGGTGGCTCAGTTGGTTGAGCGACTGCCTTCGGCTCAGGTCATGATCCTGAAGTCCTGGGATTGAGTCCCGCATTGGGCTCCCTGCTCAGCAGGGAGTCTGCTTCTCCCTCTGACCCTGCCCCCTCTCATGTGCTCTCTTATTCTCTCTCAAATAAATAAAATCTTAAAAAAAAAAAAAAA